GGGGGCAACTAAGGTGCATTATGGGAGATGTACAAATGGCGTATTCAAACAGTTTGGGGGCAAACATGGTTTATAATCGGAACTTTCACGTTCTGATCGTGTAATGACGGCAAAGAAACGTACAAAAAAGCGTGATGCACGTGCAAAGTTGTTGTTTTTTTCGAATCTAACCTATTGCCTTTTTACCGTTCCCGTCGTCGTTACTTAAGCTTCCTAATTAAAGCTGACAACGGTCTCTCGTTCATTTCAGGGCAGACCAGAAACGCAATGAACAAATTACCTATCGGGAGCTTTTCAGCACTAAGCGAGAAAGCCATTACGCTTTTTAACGTATCAAAGGCTGAAGTAGAAAGAGCCAGACGTTTGGGTACAAGACTTCTTTCTCATCATCTACTCAGTAATGGAGACGCTTCGAGAGACAATTAGAAATCTGTTACCTCGCGAGCCAATTATTATTGTTATTGTTATTAATTATTATTTTTATTATTACTATCATGATTATTACTATTATCAATTTTTTTCCGCCAGAATATCTTGCCTTACACATCAGTGCAAATATTTCGATCAAACTCGTAATTTGCGCATATTAATATTTACGCTTTATCAATATATTTCATATTGCCATGACGAGGAATTTTGGTCAAATAATGTAGTCTGTCGTGTTTTCTCTTGAAAGCAACGCCGTTTGGCCTTCCTGTCGTTGTTGTTTGTATAAAAGAGTGACGTTAAAAGTAGAAATAAGACTGGGTAGATCGCAGAGATTAAAACCGCAAATCTATACGTAATATACAGCCTTCGCGCTTGAAAGGCAGTAAGGGTACGTTAACTAATTATACAGTCTTCGCGCTTGAAAGACAGTAAAGGTACGTTAACTAATTATAACGATAACACAACAATTCTTAGTAAAGAATTGGTCATCCTACCTTACACTCCTCAATGGCTTATCATTAATTCATCCGTCTCTACAGTTAACACGTGCAGGTCTCGATGTCGAGCCTGGGACCGATCTTCTAGAGCTTGTTGCGTTGATCGCAGACGAGAACTATAACTTGCACGTGTCGTCCTCCCAGTAATCGGGGTGCACACTGTCGTGGGCTGAGTTTTCGCACGTCAGAATGCGGCTCCAAATCTTCAAGTTTCAGCTCTATATGTGTTGAGTTTTTCTTTAAGGGAACTTAAGCAACGATGACGGTGACGTCAACGAGGACGGCAAAAAAGCAATAGGTTTAGATTGACAAAATAACACCTTGCACGTGCAACGCTTTTTTTTGTGCATTTCTTTGCCGTCGTTGCACGACTACAACGTGAAAATGCCTATTTTCACGTTTTGTCGAGGACGGGAACACAAAATAACAATTTTATTTTTCTTTTCCTGAACTTTGATACAATCCTTTAGAATTAAACGAGATGGAATAAGCGCGATAAAGTTTGAATCAGCGCAAATTCACTTTTTAGGTGACGTTTTCGTAGCCGTCGTCGTTGCTTAAGCTGCCTATTACCTCGCGCACTGATTGGACGAAATAACCTTTCCTTGCTAAAGAGTACACAATATTTTACACTTAGTAGCTTCTTCCTGATAAGAAACCAGAATTACGTTTCATAGGATTCGAATAAGAGTTTTAAGAACATGTTAAGTCAAGCTGATTAGGATTATAAGGAAATATGTTCGTGATTTGGAGTAAGCGTCTGAAGATTAGGATTGAGCTATGCTTTAGACGAGGATAATGATAAAGACTGAAATTCCAGTAAGAAGAGAATTAGAACTTAAGCTTGCGCAAGACAAAGAATCAGATTCAGTTAAAGGTTAGGATCAGGATTACGCTGAGTTTTAGAATTAGGGTTAAAATAAGGATTATAAGGTTATTCTCGGTGTAAAAACCTGTAAAACTCGCAAGTGACGTAAACAAAGGTGACAAAGAAATCACTGCAATAGAACCTAGTAAAACCACAGATGCGAAACAAAGAAAAAGTTCACAAGTTCTTACACCGAGGTAAAACCTGGTTGTGCAACGATAAAGGTAAGAATTAGAATCAAGCAGAAATTATCAGTTTGGATTTTGATTAAAGAGGCTACTGTAATTGCAAATTTTTTCATAGTTATAACGGAGGCTGGTTTCTTTAGTAAGCATGGGCTCTTGTTCTACTACCTGTGGTGTTAGATGATATACAAAGTCCTTTAATTTTCATTCCTTGAGAAAATATTCCAAGAGATCTATCTTAACAGGTGCTTTTTAGTTTTCTCTAAAGTAGTCTAGATGAACTTCCAATGCCTTATGATCCCTCTTTTCTTTCACAGATCACCACTTTTACTGACATTTATAATTCTTCATTCTCTGCCCCAGAAATAGGATTTATAGACTCGCTTTAATTTTTTGCCCACGTTTGCTATTCCCAAGGCAAATTAACAAAACAAGGTCCAGAAATTCTACGATGGTCAGTAAACTGCATCCAAGGAAAAGACCCATATTTCCTCCAATGTCAGCTGTTGGGATAAACAGTAACAATTAAAAATGGTAATAGGAGTGGGTGGAGTCCAATTCAGTATGTAATCATACGAGTGACTAACAAATTCACATTTTCTATTAGCAATGAATGTTAAGCCACGCATGCAAGTCAGTACTGATTTGGGCTGGAAAGTGAGATTTAAGCCACTGTCCATGGAATTTTACTGCGCATCCTGTCCATTAATAGGAACCTGGGCCGGGATTAAAAATAATTCAGCCCCTGAAATGGGATTTCTCGCTCCCACCCATCCCAATTTAGAAGCTTCATTACTGTCGAGCGTAACAACTCTACTTATAATAGCATGTTATAATCACAAAAGCTGACGGTTGGTTCAATCATATTACTTACATCCGAAGGCATGGATGTCGTAGGAAGGCTTTTCCTTTGTTACTTCTGTGACCACAGACTGGTAAAATATATTCAGCTGAAGTAAACGCTTCCTTCAAGGAAAAGTACGATCATCGAAATTTTTCAGCAAAATACGAGTGAAACTTACCAACATAGGTACATTGTAACTGAACTAGCAAAAAACTTAAGAATCCTTGTCGGTTGAAACACAAAGCAAACAAACAAACAAAAAGAACGTTTGAGCGCCTTGGCCTACGAACAAGTTCTTCCGGGCGCTCCTTTTCCTCCCTGCCCCTAGAGCGCCTTAGAGCTTCCTCGCAGGCTAATGCTCTACAACTGAAAAGCCTCCTCAATTATTAAAGGATGTAATATCACTGGTTGACGAATTATTCCTTTATTTTGGCGCGAAATTTCAGCGTTAATTTGTCATTTCACATATGAAATGACAAAATTACCATGGCAACCTTCCGTACGTCTCAGTGCAAAGATGGCGACGAAGTTTTAAAATTTTACGAATGAAGATGACAGGGCATTAAAAGACGCTTTGTAAAACCTAAACACACGAAAGAACACATCAAGAAGGATTAGTTTGTCGAGACATTCTGAACTCAAGCCAAATTCAAGCTCTAAACTTTTGAGAGAGTGGAGTTCTCTCCGATCGATGCGATAAAACCAGGATAAACATGTCAAAAATCCACGATTGCAATCGTAATTCGTCACCTATGATATTAAGGGTAATCAAATAGTATACTCGTGAAATTAGAGAATAATTTCAATTGCGTTTTGTCGAAATTCTAATAATTTCCCGAGCTTTTGGGCTCGTGAAATTATTAGGATTTCGCCAAAACTCAACTGAAATCAGCGCCGTAGCTAGTATGAGGCCAACCGAGGCACTCGCCTCGGTAAAATTTTGACGAATTTCGCCGATCATTTTTATTTTACATAAGCGATCATCAGATATTTTTAACGCATCATGATATTACAAAGAATTCAGCAATTCAGTCAATATACTATGAAAAAATTACCATATCATCGATCTCAAGGGGCTACGTACGTTAACTCAAATTTNAGAGAGAGGCCGTCGCAAAAAAAAAAAAAGATAAATTCTGTGGGGGGGGGGGGGGGGGGGGGCATGCCCCCGAACCCCCCTAGCAACTCCCGCCTGCCTCGGTTGGCCGTTTGGTCTGGCTACGGCACTGGAAATTATTCTCTAATTTCACGAGTATACCATTTGATAACACATACTAGTCAACTTGACATCGGTGATTCCTTTTTTACAGACCGGTTTTCGTTTAATCGTCTGGTAAGAGTGGAAATGTATTCCGCCTCCTTTAGAATTTTAAGAATACGTATAGAGAAAGTTGCAGGGTTAGACGACGTAAATTGTCAAAGCCAAAGTTGTTTACATGACATAGTGAAGGCACTATTTCAACCGGGAAATTTTGGGGTCTCTCACTTTGTATTCATCAGTAAACAATAAAACAGGCGGTCATGCTGCATATTTTGAGGTTATTACATCAGGAAGCAAATTTTCATAGGCAGAGTCTAGATCATAGCCAGATTTGAATAGGTTATTTTTTTTAAGAGGACCCAGTCAATCGACACTTCTGCCACTCACCTCAATTCTGTTTCAATCTCATCATAAAACTCGGCACTTGCATTAACAGCTGCAGTGGCATTTGCTTGTCTAACAAGCATTGGAAGGACATGTCGGGAAGGGAAACTAGCGCTTGACAGTTGCTGATTAAAAGTTACAGTCTCACATTTTGTGGGACAACCACAAGCTGATTCGACGGTAGAGTTTACTACGAAAAGAACACGTATATTACAAAAAATAGATAACAACAACAACAAACAAAAACATACACAGCAAAGAAGATTCTATACAGTTTAGATGTTTCTTTCTCGAGAGTTAGAAATATACTGGCCATTTAGTAAGCCATCAAAGTCCATCACACCTTAATAGCAATGATAGAGAATTATCCAAAATTGATGAAAAATTAATTCCAATTAACTGAATTAAAAAGTTAGATTAATGGATACCTCAAATGGTTGGGAAATTTGGCAAAATGATTTTAAGTGAGCTGAGGTGGGCCACTAACCTTCAGCAGAAAGCACACAGCTGACAAATTTCCGAGGCCCACAATAGCGAAGGGACTTGTACTCATCTTAAAAAAAAATAAGACAATTGTCAACACTAGGACGTTGTTTTATGCCCTTCGGCTTCAGGAGATATATATGATCCTCCTTAATCTTTACTATTCTTTATACAGATATGTTGCACATGATTACCCTTATTGATCTTTTCCTGGAGTACCAATGCATTCAGAATTTCAGAATTAGGTCAATCGAACGCTTATCTAGCCTCATTCAATAATTGTCTCTCATTTACGGCCAATAAATACAATACAACGTCACGTTACATTAAAGAGAAAAGTAAGAGATCCAGTTATAATCAATAGTTGCTCACCAAGATGGACCATGCCCAGGACTTTGCACTGACATCTGCTGATAATAAGCCTTGTCCAGCACTCCACAAGGCATGCGCTTTGGGAATAGTTGCTCGTGCCAGCCAGCTTCCGTTCACCACACTTTGGCGTATACGGAGGAGGAAGACGGATAGTCTAGAACAAAAACGGACCAAAAAAAAAAAACGAATGAACGAAAGCTCTCAACACCATTTATTGAAAAACACGAAAACAACAACGACTAAAACATCTAGCACAGGGCGCAGAGGAGTTATTTGTGTTGCAACTTATTTTACAGTTTATAGCCCGAACCGTCTTTGTTTACTGTAGAATCGAATATGAATAGATCAAGCCGTCATACGATCGTGTTACAATCCTGGTAGAATATTATCCAATGCTCCGGAAAACCGCAGAAGGTAATGACTGCGGACAAATAATAGCGATTAACTTCCCGCCTCGCTCGGTAACCTGATTCATATTGCCCATACCTTATACCGCTGGACTCTAATCGTGCTGCTAAATCCTGGAGAGATATCCATTCCATAATTCTCCACATCTGGCCAGTCATTTTGATCGTGAATCACAACGCGAAAACCGGTTCCTTCAAGCATGTTAAATGGCCCATAATACTGCTCAGGTTGTGCGTTGAGTTGAAGAAAAAGACCCTTGTCCCTTCCTGCATTTCTCTGGTAACGTAAGGCGTAACCAGGCTTTCCAGAGTTGAACGTGTAGCAGAGACCACGCTGAAAAAAAAAAAACATTGCGTCACATTATATTCAAGCGAGAGAGCATAGGGGTGGCGCAGTGGTTAGAAAACTACTGTGCCACCATAGCCTTACTTTCACTTGCTCATACAGATTCTTGGTTGGACCAAGTTTTCAAGTCTCAATCAACGTCCATCCTTACCATCCGTTTCAACATACGAGAGGAAACAGTTCCAAAACCTAAGTATACTCTTAAAAAATAAAAGTGGACTATTATTTTTGGAATTCAGTTCATGCTAAGACGCGTTTTAACTTCTTAAAAGGGTAGCAATTAACGTGACATTCCCACCATCAAAGAGGGGAAGGCACAAATTGCGTCCAATTTCCTTGTTTACTGACAAGAAAAATATCAATTTCAGTATGGCGGTGTATTGTTTAGACAGTTGCTTTTGTTCTTTTGTACTTGTACGCCAGGGAGAGGGGAGGGGGCTTCACAACGAAAAGTTTCGGATAAATTATATTCCGAATCTCTTAGCTAGCTATCACAAAGCGCCAAAACAGAAGCCATATTATGTTACAGGCTGGGAGTTTAGTGTGAATAAATAGACCGGAATCAGCGCTTTATTAAGATATACCTGGATAAATGTTGCAGGTCAAAATTAAAATAAGAGTTACATTTTGTAACCTAGGAAGATTCTCTCTTTCCTTTGTCTCCTAGCCCTAACTGATGAATAATTGGGGCTAGGAGTTAAAAGAAAGAAAGCATCAACCTAGGTCAAAAATTTCAACCTGAATATATTTTTGACCGGTAACGTATACCTGTCTTACCCTTATAGACGTGAAGACGTAGAAGTCCTCCGGTTTACAAAGTTTTCCCTGCGAAAAGCACGCTATCAGCATATCTGAAATGTTATGTCCTGCTCGTCTAACCTCTTTGTCCAGATTCAAATTAAAAGAATCATTTGTGTTATTATGAAAACCGTTGTACAGCAAGGATTCAATCTCATCCAAGAACTTCTGGGCCTCTGTACCCATTATTTTATCTTTTCGCAGCATGTTCTGGTTGCAAATTGTCACTGCTGGAAATAAAGTCGCATCTTCACGTTGTTGCTCCTTTATAGTCATGGAGTCATGTTCCAGAAGTTTGTTCAATCCATTGAGGCACTGAAAAGCTAGTATTACCAATGCCAGAATGATCAATGTCGCCCACAAAATGCGCCTGACAACAGAGCAGGACTCAAGAACGAAGTGAAATCCATGTAGAGTAGTGTAGCCAGCGAACTCGTTGACCAGTTCGGATGTTTTATTTTCTTTGTTGGTTTTTGATTCTGTAGCGTTATCTTCTATTCGGAGTTCTTCCCGTGTCATTTCCATGACTTGTCTTAGTTCTGATGACAACCTTGTCTCCAGCGTAAGGACCTCGCGCTAACTAAAACCACTCAAACCAGGAGATGAAAGAACCTTTACCTCTCTTATTAGCGTTCCCTTTTAGCACAATTAACAAATAAGGCCAAAAAAGGAGACGCTGTATGCGAGATGTAAATTCAAAATTCCCAGCTCTGAGATCGCTTTAGACTTCATAATTTGTGCACTGCTCTAGATGGATATTTGCCAGCTTAAAACTAAAAAATGTGAATTTGTAATTACTCCCTGGAGTTTATTATTGTTCCTGATTGCTTGTTTGCTAGCTTTCTAAATTAATTTTGCTAAAAAACAAGAGAAGGACAAAAAATTTGGCCACCCAAAACAGAAACATGTATACGGTGTATAAATAAGGAAAAAAATCAAAATAAGATCAATTTAAATGAAGTACGGTAAAATTGTTTAACCCTTCGAAAAGCCAAAGTTACAATTATAAAACCATTTTAATGATTTTTACGGATCTTATAAACTTAACTATTTGCTAAAATTTACGTAATATTTAAGTTCCTTACACAGGCTATTTAAAATTAGATACAAACATAATGCATCAGGTTTTGCGCAATTAAAAAATGCAGAAAAGGAAAAGATTTAAGGAAAGAAAAAAAAAGGAAAAGGTCTTTAAAACGGCGTTTAAAGCTGATTCATAGTTTATTTCATGACTATTTGTATTCGCTTCCATTTTCACTCCAAAAACTAATTAACATTTAAATTAAACGAGATCGCAGGGAAAATAACATTTACATTTAAAGCTACTTAGTAATAGGGTTAAAGTCGGTTGCCAGCTCCTACTAGATCATATTTTACGATTACATAATACATATTATTTACGATTACAGCAAAGCAATTAATAAAACCTGGCAAAACGACGTCCACTTTTAATTAAAACTTTAATCAAAAATATACTATTTCTATAACAATGGAGCTTCTTCCGTCTTAAAAAATGTAAATGCGAAGTTTCCATACATAAGATAATATCGACGATTAGTTCACGTTGAAAAAAACAATGAAAGTAACTTCAAATGTTAGCGTTTGCGTGACCAATTCCAAACTTTAATAAGGCTGCCGCCTTTTTTTGCTTTCGTGGAGTTTAATCGGATTACACTACTCGCTCGAATTGCATTAAGACTTGTACCTTAGCTAATTTTCTTGCTGCAGAGTCTACGATATATTATGTGCAGTTAGGTTTATACTGTCAGCAGTTCTCGCTTCTCATTATTATTTAATCTATCCATTGTTTTAGGTTATTCCCTGCTAAAGGAAACAAGTGTTACTTATGTATACTTTAAAATACAATTTTGGCACATATTTCTTATTTCGTAGATCTGCTGTGTTTAACCATGTCATTCCTGACATGGTTCCTAAGGAAAAAAGTATCCATTTTCATTTCCTAAACAATAATAATAACAAGAAAACAGCAGTACCATGTAGAACGCTGCTGAAGAGTTCTCATTGCATGAAGGGTAAAACAAGACTTAAAATTTAAAAGTACCTTATTGCCTCCATAATTAAACAATCTCCCACCCTACATGCACGAAACTGAGTATAATTAAACTTATTATCCCTGCGTTTGGCCCTTATTTTAGCCATGTGATATTAAAATTAATTCAAATATCTTTAAAAATGGAGAAAAGGTACGTGACTAAGAGAATTTAAAAATTAATTCTTTCTTTCCCTGGGAGCCAGCGTAAACTCTTTCAAACTGGAGTGATGTGGGCCGACTTTTTTTTCTATAACAGTTAAGCCTTGCNAGTTCTCATTGCATGAAGGGTAAAACAAGACTTAAAATTTAAAAGTACCTTATTGCCTCCATAATTAAACAATCTCCCACCCTACATGCACGAAACTGAGTATAATTAAACTTATTATCCCTGCGTTTGGCCCTTATTTTAGCCATGTGATATTAAAATTAATTCAAATATCTTTAAAAATGGAGAAAAGGTACGTGACTAAGAGAATTTAAAAATTAATTCTTTCTTTCCCTGGGAGCCAGCGTAAACTCTTTCAAACTGGAGTGATGTGGGCCGACTTTTTTTTCTATAACAGTTAAGCCTTGCAGATGCAATTTGCAATCGTTGTAGTTTCTCTTGCTCGTGGGGTAGGGGAGGATAGGCCACGAAGGGTGCTGTTTCAGTAAATCTGGAATACAGCTCAAGGAATCCGGAAACCAAGTTCCACGGACAAAGAATCTGAGACCTAGCACCTGGAATCCGGAATCCACGGCGTGGAATCCAGGATCCAATACTGTCTTGGATTCCCCTACATGGCGCGATATTTATTAATTGACACAGCTGTGGGTGACTGTCATACGAAATCTTTGCTAATGGCGACGTTTCGTTAAAATTCGTATTTAGAGGTGTATACTGCCCCCGAACCCTTGACTTCTTATTTGCTTCGAAATTGTTCAAGTTGCCCTTTTCGGTTTGCGCATCTAAAGGTTGGGATCGGAATTCATGGTTTAAATATGGTCCTTCACTAGAAGTTTCAAAGAAGACACTTAAACATGTCTTGATAAGATTTTTTATAGAACATTACTGTATTCCCCCATCACCAACGAGCCCTGGAAACAAGACTCATAATATATGTGCATATAAACTGTGAGATCATCAATTTATTTTAGGTGCACAGGTGCTGGTTTGAATAAAAATTAGCTGGGATTATGACCTTTTCATGTAAACTTAATACATGTATTGGGCTACAAAAATTTAAAGTTAATTTGTCTTTCTTTACTTTTACAGTAGACAAATAGCTATGATCCGGGCATCAGCGGACATAGACCTTCCAGAAATCCCCACGGGACAAGACAAAATCTGAGTCATCGTCATCGCAAAGCCACATGCCGACAAACCAGTGATGCTGATTTGGGATATAAGCCACGTAGTTTAATAGGCGCAGCTGGCCATTATACCTTGAATGACCCCATTTTCCGCCATTTGCCCAATCAGCACAGCGTGAAGCTAGTTCGGAAGTATCTCCTTCGAGGCGAACGTAAGAATTGCACGACGCTGGTAAGGTGTTAATTTGAGTACTGAAGTAACTTACCACCGCTTCTCCTTTACCGTCGATAGTTGTTTTCACATGGAATGTCCTTCTGCCCTTTTTACTGCAATGAAATCGAAGCTCATTAAATCGCAAATGCGCTCTTAACTGATTCATTGCGTTCGCCTCGATCCCCATATAGTTGTTGTCATAGTTACTGATTCCTCGGTAAGTAGATTCGGCCTGCCAGCTTGGCAGGGAAGAAGGGTCTTCAATAACAAAGTTTGCAACCATAAGCCAACCACCTAAAATAATAATAATAATAAAAAAGGACATTACATTAATTATTATAAATTGTACTCACTTCCTGTCGTCTCATTAGCAAGAAGCCTACAGTTAAGTTTGGAAATTAACATATATCCTACAAGTTAGTTAGTTATGTGTTTGCAGATAATAAACAATTATTGGATGTGGTTTCTATGATATCTAGAATAATAAAGGTCGAGGTAAGTGTTATCAGCCGAGCCGAAAGCCGAGGCTGATAACACTTACCGAGACCTTGATTATTTACGATATAACCAAAACCCGAATCTAATAATTTTTTTTTATTATACAATGCATTGTTTTGAAGAAAATAACCACAAACACTCCCTCGCAAGGAACATAAACTGATGCAGCAGATAACTAACTAAACTGTAGGTTGTGCTGATTTCCAAAATTAGCCGTAGGCTTTTAGCCAAAGAGGAGGCAGATGGTGAGTTCAGTGTATAATACAGTCAAACCTCCTTAATACGGACATCAAAGGGACAGAACCCAGTGTCCGCTTCACAGAGGTGTCCGTATTATAGAGGTAGGGAATGCATGATTTTTGGCATTTCTGGGACCAAACGAACTGTCCGTAATACAGAGGTGTCCGTATTATAGAGGTGTCCGTTAGGAGAGGTTAGACTGTAATTGGACTTATCTGTAGGTTGCGCATGATTTTCATGAGCGATGTCAAAATACTTGTTCCGTGGGACGGTGTGTTTGCAGTTATTTTCTTCAAAACATTACATTCGGTTTTTGTAGTATACTGGATGATCAAGGAGTCATAACACTTACCGAAACCTTGGTTATTCGTTATTACGGATATCACAAAACCACAATTGTTTTTTTCGTATATACGAAGAACACAAACACACCCTTTCATAGCCACCTTTTCATAAAGACCACATTTTTCTGACATAAACGTAGTAATTTTCTTATCTGACACCACGCTACTAGATCGTTTTCACTGTCACGCAACAAAAAATTAAATTGGAAACCGTCCTGTGGAAGAAACCAAGAAAATGAAATGTTCTAAAAGACTAATATATAAACAATTTTGCCAAGTCTCACGTCTTTGTGGCCCATAGTTTCTGAGTTATTTGGCGAAACGTTTCACGCACCTTTGTAGAGCTTTGTATGGAGACGCCATATTGGTGCACCGTTTCGGTGCACCAATATATATGGCCGCCGGAAATCAACAAAAACATCTGGAGTTTACTTTTTCTATGAAAACTCTTTCTTTTCACTCGAGAACTAGCGTACGTTCGCATAAACATATCTTCTAATACTTGAAGTGGTTATATTGCTGAAAGTCAAGAGGAGAGACCTTTTTTCAACGAGACAGCATTCCTATTTTGGTGTCACGCACTGTAAAAACTCGAAGTGCAAATTGCTGTATTTTCGAAATGAAACATTCTACGGAAATGGAAACTTGTACAAAGATTTACTTTTTGTTTATCTTCAACCTGGTGTAAATAAGAATTCGTAAAACCTCGCTATTTCGACTTAACAATTTGATGACGTCACAGTGAAAACCATCTATACAACCACCCGTCAATAGGACCAGAAGTTCGTGGCTCAACAATGGTAGAATTAACGGCGTTCCACAAAAAAAGAAAACAAACAAACAAACAAAAAACATCAACTGCAACAAAAACTGAGGCGAAAAAGAAGAACGGAAACTTCACTAAAATAAAGGGGACAACGAGAAGACCTTATTCTCAATAATAAAATGGCGATTGTATCTTTGTGGGTGGAATAATGTGATTTAAAATGGGAAACAAGTCGTGCTAATTATTCTATACTTTTTACTCAAAACTTCCATGAACATATATTTCTTTACCAAGTTTCGATGCTCTGGTCTAACCCTTTAGTCATCGAAGTCAATAAAATATAGACTTTACAATAATAACAATAATAATAATAAAAAAAAAAACAGAAAAGAACAAAACAATCAAACATAAATACCAACAAGTACTAGATAGGGTAAGGAAACAAATTATCACAGACCCACCTCCATCGGTGTTCATATCACAAAACACCTTAAATGGATTGTCATTCCCTTCTGGGTCGATCCAGTATTCTCCATTTCCCATTGAATCTCCTACCTCCAAAATATGTTGGCAAGACTTAGCAGCATTTACGGAAGATCCGAACATAGCTAAGATTGAACGCAAATATTAGGCAAAGAAAATGAAGACATCTAGTACCAGAAAGTTGGAGAAAAAAGAAAAACGTACCACGATCTGGATTCTCAGCGAAAATGAAGCTCTCGTCGAACTTCAGTTTTTCGGGTTTGGAACGCCGCGTTTGATTATTAAACTGGCAAATCTTGTCAGCAAGCTTGTAGTTCAAACTCTGGCAAGAAGGCTCGATATTACACGCGCTGTAACAGGCGGCGAGTCGAGGTACTGTAAACGACTTGTACACATGATCAAAAAGGACCAGGCCGTGCTCTGTGCGACTCGTGACTTTACACTGATGCCCGTGAGTTCGTAATATCGATACCAAGATGATAGCGACTTGGTTAAAATTCGACACCAGCTCCATCGAGCAAACTTTATAGAT